AGGCTGATCTAGACTGACATGGCTACTGTATGTGTTCAGCTTGTGTTGTGTAAACTGACCTGAATGGGTTAAATTTCTAATGAAGTTCAAATAAATAAAAGTCAATAGTTATGAAAAACCTTGCTACATTTGTAAATTTGTTGAATTTTTACACTCATATCTTGATTATAATTGATTTTTTTTTATGTCATTTTAGTAAAAAATAAACAAAAAAACGAGTAGCACTTTCATTCTTAAATGTGATCTAACAAAGGTAAAGAGAAAATATTAACCATATATGCTGTTTATATTGCTTGTAATTGGGATGAAGTAAACATCTGTTGAGTATTTTAACGTAAAATTGTTTGATTGTGTTGAATTAAAAACCACAAAATGCAGCTGTTACAAGACAGAAGGAACTGACACAAGGATGCAAGTAATATAATGTTTATTGAACAACCAGGTGAAAGTTCGGCAGAGCAGGTGAAGGAATGTGGGTGAGAAGAGATCCAGACGATCAACCACGGATAACACAGTTCGAATACTTGCAGTTGGTGAAGATGAAGACAAACTGGAATTTGCGAAGACTCAGGAGAATGAACTGGTGATTAGGCTCAATGTTGTTGACTCGGAGAAATCACACAGAGACTGGATAGCAGAAATTAGAGTCCAGGGCTCGTTTTTCGTACGTTGCTTAAAACATCCGAGATCAAATGAGACATCTAAGATGATATCATCGTGCTAATCATGATCCGGCTAATTGGGTTCTTCGAACACACCTGTTGTTTATGATTAGTATCGCTGGATTGAGTTATCTGAGATAATTGCGCGTTCATGCGCTGGTTTAAAAGGGGATATGTATCGATAGTAGAAACATTGATCAGCAACGCTGCTATTGGCTGCTCACCGTGGCCAAAGAGCGCGCTCAGTTTTACTCTGCAGCAGAGCAAGAGCTATTGCTAGAAGGTTACCCAGATAGCAAATGACATCTGGCCCAGTTGTGGCCCACATCTTCCACATTCTTCTGGCCCACATACCGCATGGAATGACGGCGATGACTCAACCTGAGTGTGGCAACTAGAAGTCAGCCACAACTGGGCCACATCTCAGAAATGGCATGGGCCGCATCTGGGCCATGCATGGGCCACATCTTAGAAATGGCATGGGCCGCATCTGGGCCATGCATGGGCCACATCTTAGAAATGGCATGGGCCGCATCTGGGCCATGCATGGGCCACATCTCAGAAATGGCATGGGCCGCATCTGGGCCATGCATGGGCCACATCTCAGAAATGGCATGGATATTTTGCCCAGATCTAATTATCTTATAATAAATAAAAAAAACGAGAATACCGGTAATCATAGTCAAAAGTGATTTAATAAATATAGAAATTTGATGAATGCATTTAAATATGTATAAATATAAATCAAAACAGGAAACAATACATATTATAAATACATATTATATAGTTAAATAGAATATAAATATATAAAATAAAACAGGCAGGGGTCCAGAAGGTGAGGATTGCTAGAAACCAGAAGGCAGTCCAAAGAAAACATACATATTTATAAATATAAATCAAAAACAGGAAACAATACATATTATATAATATAAATGTAATAAATATATAAAAAATAGGCAGGGGTCCAGAAGGTGAGGATTGCCAGAAACCAGAAGGCAGTCCAAAGAAAACATACATATTTATAAATATAAATCAAAAACAGGAAACAATACATATTATATAATATAAATGTAATAAATATATAAAAAATAGGCAGGGGTCCAGAAGGTGAGGATTGCCAGAAACCAGAAGGCAGTCCAAAGAAAACATACATATTTATAAATATAAATCAAAAACAGGAAACAATACATATTATATAATATAAATGTAATAAATATATAAAAAATAGGCAGGGGTCCAGAAGGTGAGGATTGCCAGAAACCAGAAGGCAGTCCAAAGAAAACATACATATTTATAAATATAAATCAAAAACAGGAAACAATACATATTATATAATATAAATGTAATAAATATATAAAAAAATAGGCAGGGGTCCAGAAGGTGAGGATTGCCAGAAACCAGAAGGCAGTCCAAAGAAAACATACATATTTATAAATATAAATAGGAAACAATTAATATAATAAATACATATTATATTATATAAATAAATAAAGTAAAACAGGCAGGGTTCCAGAAGGGGAGGACTGCCAGAAACCAGAAGGCAGTCCAACGAAAACATTAGACCAAGGTCTACATATTAGGAACAAGGTCAAGCGAGTGTCAGAAACAGGAGAAAGCAAGTTCTTAACTGAATTACAATTTAATAAAACAAAGTGGTGAATCAGATCAACAGTTCAAAAAGAGAGCAGGGCAAAAGGGGAGTCCATTGAACAGGCAGTGCGAACAAGGTAATGGGTGAGCAAGTGTCAGAACCAGGAAACAATCTTAATTTTTTTGTCTTGCCCGACGGCCTCCATCCCTGTCTGCGGAAAGCTGCAGCCATCTTTTGATCCAATTTTCAATCTCTTGGTCTGTTGCAGTGGCAGTTAACCGGTTTCTTCTGACAGCAGCTACAATGACACATATATGACCAACAGTAAATAAGCAAATAATTATTGTTATTTATTATAAATCTAACATTTATAGGGACACCAAACAACACAAATAAATAAAATCAGTTTATTTCAGAAAGCCATACCATTGATTACAGGTTTTAGAGAGGTGTCTTTAAATGCAGCTTTTCCATTGATTCCCCTCCAGTTAATCTGACGGGCCATGTCATTTGAAAGAAGGAAGCTGAGAATCCGCCATACGCTTTCTTTGACTGTTGTGCCTCCCCTCAAGGCTAACGTGTTTATCTGTAAAAATAAATGTATGCACAAATAAAGGAACAAGCATCTAAAAACCATCCTTTGAATAGAATGTACAAAAACGGTGTGGGCTTTTACCGGTCAAAAAAAAGTTCATTTGGAATTATTTAGCCTTTAAAGGGATAGTTTACCCTCCAAAAAAGTCCTGGCTCTTCCAAGTTTTAATACACGAGTGAATAGCCGTTTCTGTTTTGAAGTGCTCCATACAGCTCTGGGGGTTTATAAAGGCCTTTTGAAGCAAAGCGATGCGTTTGTGTAAGAAAAATATCCATATTTAAAACTTTATCGAATAAATGGCTTCCGGCAGACGGGCCTTCAAAAAATGGACTTGGAAAATATACAGCCATTCACTGCCATTATAAAGCTTGGAAGAGCCAGGACATTTTTTAATATAACTCAGATTGTATTAAAGAAGAATGTCATATACACCTAGGGTGACTTGAGGGTGAGTAAATCATGGGCTAATTTTCATTCATTTCAGTTCTTTCAGCAGTAAGAGGAACTTGTTCGCAACCAGCAATCTCATTGGTTAGTGCTAACGATCACCATCCACATTTTAATTTCAGCAAATCAGTTAGTGTGAGTGAAAGCATACAATTCGCCTTTGGCTAAGCCACACCCTCGAATGTAGATTGACCAATCACAGCGCAGCCAAGAACGAGCTCCCACAGAGGTCCGACACTTTTTCACAGCGCTCCATTGACTTTAACACAGTAGGCTTGCCGCGATAGACGGTGTTGACGGTGTTACCGGTTTTAAGCCCCATCACCGGTGACATCACTTTCCCACCGTGACACCGCGATGTCTTGACTTTTTTAAAGTATTCGTTTTTGCTAAAATATTTATTTGAATTAATAAAAAATAATAATGATAAATTATTTAGTTCAGAAGAGAGCATACATTATAATTAAAAACTGAACTGCGCAGTGCGTGCCAAGAGCCAGTCACGTCACAGATCAGCAAGCATCAGGATTCCATTTAGCACGTGTGGAGAAGAGAACGAGTCAAATTAAAGAAAAGCAAGATAATGGTGGAATGTGTAATTTATTTAGGCCTGTTTTATTTTCTTATTCGTTAATAAACGTTTTATGGTTCTTATTTGTTTGGGCCCACAGTTTGACGATTTTCAGCCTATGCATGGGGTTATTTTTATTCGTTCGTTATGCTAATAAAAGTTCTGTCTATAAATAAAAGTTTTATTATCAGCGAGCCGAGTTGTTGTTTTTTTGTCCATTCAAGCAATTGACGCTGAATTGCCAATTGACGCTTATTTCGAAAGTGAAAGTATAACGCGCACGCATTTAAAAGCTATTTAACCCCGTTTTATTATCAGCGAGCCGAGTTGTTGTTTTTTTGTCCATTCAAGCAATTGACGCTTATTTCGAAAGTGAAAGTATAATGCGCACGCATTTAAAAGCTATTTAACCCCCCCGCCCCCCACGGTGACACCGGGATTACCGGTGTTGTGACACGTCGATTAACCGGTGGGAAATTTTCCTCACCGCGGCAAACACAGGCGTCTCATACTTTTGGTCTCGGCAGGCTATTACCGTCGTAGTTTTATCAAAAATATGGTTAAACGTTGTGCCTGGGGCATTTGTAACACAGATACGCGTTTCCCAGAGAGGTTGGAGGGGGGGTGCGTTTTTTTTTCCCTTCCCAAACCCGAAGTCAAATCCTGTCAAGTGTCGTCTAGCACACGCTGCTAATAAATACAACGTTATACTCACGTAGTCCGTTTGCTTTGTTATAACGATTATAGAAGTGAATAGAGACCCACCCAGCTTTGCATGAACAGTGTTGCTCCTTGATATTGTTAGTCCCAGCCTCCGTCTCGATTAGTAGGATATGCGGTGGTTCATTTTTTGACTGTGACCGGTATGCTTTTGCCTCTATTTGGATGCCTTGTTGTTCCTTGCGTTTCACCTATGTCGTGAATATAGCCTTCGAACGTATATTGCAGCCCCTTTTGCCTACTTCTATCGGACACTTTATTTGCTGCTTTATAAACGTTTGATAAAATTTCAGCAGGAAGAGCTGTCACAGCATAAGCCATGTTGATACCAGAGCCCAGATGAAGTTTGTTTGTCGGACGTAGCAACAGTAACTAACGGGGGCGGGGCTTAGCCAAAGGCGAATTGCAGTTTCTTCACCAGGCCAAACCTTTCTTGTTGCTTAACCATTCCATGTCGAACCAGCCCAGCCAGTACGGATATGGTTTAAACATGTGGTTGACTACCTACTGTACCATTCACAATGAGCAAAATATGAAAACACTGACAGTTAATTGATGCGAGTTAATTTTTTTCTATTGAAATCTTACCACAGCTGTCTTGTAGTCTTCCTGCTGCAGCTGTCCCTCAATGACTTGAAGTTGTTGGAAACTTGACAGTGGAAAACAGTCTGTGTTTAATGTTGGGCTGTCTTCTGTAGTTGATAATTTTTTGAGGTCGTAGACCAATTTAACCAATGTGCCCATCTGTTCTTTAATCATTTCTTGGTTTGCAAGAATTTTGCGTATCCAAGCTAGAAAAAAGAAAAAGCTATTAAAGTAAAAAATGCATATCACTGTGTAAAAAAAAAAAGTCACTACCTACCTTCACTGAAACCAGTGTGGGATGGTGCTAAAAAGGGGAACACAACAAGATCTTAGTTTGACCATGTTAAATGACAGTAGAAGGAAGTAAAAATCTTATTTTTACTCTATGGCTCTGCAGATTTGTTTGTACATAATTTGGTTTAAAAGGTAACTAATGGTTAAGGAGTTAAACACAGTCAGTTTTAGAACTTAAATAGTTTATTGTGTAACAGTATTTTGGATACATGGGTAAACCTGTAAGATTTGAATGCCGTGCTAGTGAACTGACACAGTATATACTTACAACTAAAGACTTCTGCCTCTCCTTGCCTAAATTGTGGGGTGCGATTCCTTGCTGTAAAGGATAATTAGTGGGAAAGGCCAAAGTTTAGCAGTAGCTTTTAGCACATGTTATATGGGTAAAATGGGAAGAAAAGGTTATATTGTAAATTTACGGGTTACTGATGTCCGTTTCACAGGTGTTGATGTCCTCCTTTGGTTACTGCGGATTTGTTTTTGGCGCCCTGATGGCATCAAAACAGGCCAAAAATATAGTGTCACCCCTGAATTTGGCTAACATTGGATATTAACACAAAACACAAAGATATAAACATTTTAAGCTAAAAAACATTATAGTCCAGTCATTTTAAGCCAAAATGGAGGTCAACCTAGGACAAATTGCAACTGAAGCAAACTCAACTGATTTCATATCCTCAATATGTCACACCTGTCAACACTCCCGTTTTTCTCCCGTTTTTTTGCCCAATCTCCAGGACCCCTCCCGATTTGTTATTTCTCCCGGGAAACTCCCGTAATTTGCATGGTCCAAACTCCTTTATGAATAATAGGATCAATATGCTTGTCTAATGTTGACCAGTTGCCAGATCTTGTATTAAATGCATTATATTTACACAATACACACACCATATACAATTTCAACCCAGCAACCTATAACCCAGTTGCGCAGTCGCGGAAAGCTTAACCCGAAAGAGAGCACCACCACCCCTTTTTTTTTTCTCCTTACCTAGGACATATTGAGGATACAAAATCAGTTGGGTTTGCTTCTGTTGCAATTTGTCCTACTTTTTTCATAAAGTGACTGGACTATTACATGTCCTGTGTTTTCAAATACTCACAATTCATAGTGTCTGCCTCCTCTCTGGCTAGTGGTTGGGAGTAATTCCCTGCTCTGCTGGTAGCTGAACAGGACAAAAGTGGGAGAAAATGGAGAGGTCAGTGTTGAGGAGCTTTGAGGCAAGTTTAGGTCTAACTGATATCAAATTGATGTTTTATGTGTCTGCGGTGGCAAGCATATCTACTCTGTAACTCGTATGCCCTGTGTTTTCAAATACTCACAATTCATAGTGTCTGCCTCCTCTCTGGCTAGTGGTTGGGAGTAATTCCCTGCTCTGCTGGTACCTGAACAGGAAAAAATTGGAGAGGTCAGTGTTGAGGAGCTTTGAGGCAAGTTTAGGTCTAACTGATATCAAATTGATGTTATATTTGTTTGCGGTGGCCATAGATATATACATTAGATGTCGCCTTGGGGTTCTAAGCATGCGTCAAAACCGCCGCCATCTTGGAACAGGGGTCTTGTCATAGGAAGTAGCTAGGTAACGCTGCTATCTCCGCCTGTACTACGAATTCATGGATTTTCTGACTTTTGTGCTGCGTATGGATGTTCACACGAACGAAATCTGAACTAGGAAGAATGTAAAAAAAAAAAAAAAAATAATAATAATAATAATAATAATTTTCTCTGGACTCCATGATAAATACATGTCTGACCATTGGAACGAACCAAAAAACTAGACAATCGCATTCATGGCAATTTATGGTGATTTTATTTCCGTTAGACCTTTGCCTACATTGACGTTTATGCATTAAAGAGGGGCTCCCCTGTTCCATGATGGCGGCTCTATTGACGCATTCTTTCCAATGAACTGCCTTAGCCAAGGCGACATCTAGTGTATATATCTATGTGCGGTGGCAAGCATATCTACTCTGTAACTCGTATGCCCTGTGTTTTCAAATACTCACAATTCATAGTGTCTGCCTCCTCTCTGGCTAGTGGTTGGGAGTAATTCCCTCCTCTGCTGGTACCTGAACAGGAAAAAATTGGGAAAAATGGAGAGGTCAGTGTTGAGGAGCTTTGAGGCAAGTTTAGGTCTAACTGATATCAAATTGATGTTTTATGTGTCTGCGGTGGCAAGCATATCTACTCTGTAACTCGTATGCCCTGTGTTTTCAAATACTCACAATTCATAGTGTCTGCCTCCTCTCTGGCTAGTGGTTGGGAGTAATTCCCTGCTCTGCTGGTAGCTGAACAGGACAAAAGTGGGAGAAAATGGAGAGGTCAGTGTTGAGGAGCTTTGAGGCAAGTTTAGGTCTAACTGATATCAAATTGATGTTTTATGTGTCTGCGGTGGCAAGCATATCTACTCTGTAACTCGTATGCCCTGGGTTTTCAAATACTCACAATTCATAGTGTCTGCCTCCTCTCTGGCTAGTGGTTGGGAGTAATTCCCTGCTCTGCTGGTAGCTGAACAGGACAAAAGTGGGAGAAAATGGAGAGGTCAGTGTTGAGGAGCTTTGAGGCAAGTTTAGGTCTAACTGATATCAAATTGATGTTTTATGTGTCTGCGGTGGCAAGCATATCTACTCTGTAACTCGTATGCCCTGGGTTTTCAAATACTCACAATTCATAGTGTCTGCCTCCTCTCTGGCTAGTGGTTGGGAGTAATTCCCTGCTCTGCTGGTAGCTGAACAGGACAAAAGTGGGAGAAATTGGAGAGGTCAGTGTTGAGGAGCTTTGAGGCAAGTTTAGGTCTAACTGATATCAAATTGATGTTTTATGTGTCTGCGGTGGCAAGCATATCTACTCTGTAACTCGTATGCCCTGGGTTTTCAAATACTCACAATTCATAGTGTCTGCCTCCTCTCTGGCTAGTGGTTGGGAGTAATTCCCTGCTCTGCTGGTAGCTGAACAGGACAAAAGTGGGAGAAATTGGAGAGGTCAGTGTTGAGGAGCTTTGAGGCAAGTTTAGGTCTAACTGATATCAAATTGATGTTTTATGTGTCTGCGGTGGCAAGCATATCTACTCTGTAACTCGTATGCCCTGGGTTTTCAAATACTCACAATTCATAGTGTCTGCCTCCTCTCTGGCTAGTGGTTGGGAGTAATTCCCTGCTCTGCTGGTAGCTGAACAGGACAAAAGTGGAGAGGTCAGTGTTGAGGAGCTTTGAGGCAAGTTTAGGTCTAACTGATATCAAATTGATGTTATATTTGTTTGCGGTGGCCATAGATATATACATTAGATGTCGCCTTGGGGTTCTAAGCATGCGTCAAAACCGCCGCCATCTTGGAACAGGGGTCTTGTCATAGGAAGTAGCTAGGTAACGCTGCTATCTCCGCCTGTACTTCGAATTCATGGATTTTCTGACTTTTGTGCTGCGTATGGATGTTCACACGAACGAAATCTGAACTAGGAAGAATGTTTAAAAAAAAAAAAAATAATAATAATAATAATTTTCTCTGGACTCCATGATAAATACATGTCTGACCATTGGAACGAACCAAAAAACTAGACAATCGCATTCATGGCAATTTATGGTGATTTTATTTCCGTTAGACCTTTGCCTACATTGACGTTTATGCATTAAAGAGGGGCTCCCCTGTTCCATGATGGCGGCTCTATTGACGCATTCGTTCCAATGAACTGCCTTAGCCAAGGCGACATCTAGTGTATATATCTATGTGCGGTGGCAAGCATATCTACTCTGTAACTCGTATGCCCTGTGTTTTCAAATACTCACAATTCATAGTGTCTGCCTCCTCTCTGGCTAGTGGTTGGGAGTAATTCCCTGCTCTGCTGGTAGCTGAACAGGACAAAAGTGGGAGAAAATGGAGAGGTCAGTGTTGAGGAGCTTTGAGGCAAGTTTAGGTCTAACTGATATCAAATTGATGTTTTATGTGTCTGCGGTGGCAAGCATATCTACTCTGTAACTCGTATGCCCTGTGTTTTCAAATACTGTGTATTTGAAAACACTGTGTAAATTGTATTTCCAGAACTGATGATAGTATTCCTTAAATTAATCCACAAAAAAACAAACGTGTTAGTTCTGTCAAACGCTTAAAATATTTAATCGCGAATAATGTCATAGTTAACTCTCTGGGGTCGGCGGTCTCGCCGGCGATACCAGCTCACTTTTTTCCTTATCAGTGCAAAAGAGACTCAAATTACTCTGTTAATTTTGATCTTACATATAAGTGTTGTACATCATTAGATCCTGTTAAGTTTCTATTTTTTTTGTGGATACTCACAATAAAAACAAAGTGTTGTGCTTTTCACCAAATAAAGAAAAACAAACATGATGCGAGTTCTGCGTTCTCTCTGTCAGTGAAGTCCATTCTGAAACGCGTCCTAAGATTAACTGTAACTCCGCGATTACTTGTCACACAGGCACGAGAGGTTTTTCTTTATGAAGCTTAAATTCTCTTCTTTTAAATGAAGTAATTTATATAAAAAACAAATATTCTCAGTTTATGCAATCTGTATGAAAAGAGAGTGCTGTCAGTATTTTTTCCCCCAGCTCATTACACTTCATTACGCGTTAATATGACACGCCCACGGAGGACGCGCGCTATTCAAACGCAAATGTCGAGGCAAGCCATGACAATGCCCACATCAGCTGTTCCACCGCGGCGGTAAAATGTGTGGTGTATTTGCTGCCTTTTACCGCTAAGAGGCGCTACAATCATAGACTCTGAAAAGTGTTCGTTTATTCCGGTTTATTCTCTCTAATGCGTAATCTGCTGCCGCACCGCGCTGATTCAGAGCGATTGAAAGCTGGTAGCAGAAGAATTCAACAAGTGAAACGTAGTTAAAATAATTCATAATCACAATACTGAAATTAGGCTACTGAAATGTAATTGAATAAATAATGAAAACATTTCAACATAAAACATTGCAATAAAAACATTTAGGCTACATGGATGAGGCTTTACAACTTTAACAGCATACAGAAGACAGCTCAGTGATCAACGCAACGACACGAGCTTCGAGGAGCTTCAACAGACCCGAGATCGAATCTCAATGTAGCATACATGTTGTTAACCGATGTTGTCCTACGTTTATATTTTCCCACCTTGATGCTTAAATAGGTAACTGTTTATATCTGTTTACTTATTTAAAGTCAAGAGTTTTGTTTGATTATCATTACAACATAAATTTGCTTCATTCCTGTAGAACCGCAGCCGCTGCACAAACGACAAAAACTGATGAAGGAAGATTGTCAGCCGATCAGAAAATGAAAATGAAGAAGCTCGTCTTTAGTCTGCTAAATTATTGTGTAATGTAAAAGAACACTAAAATTACTTAAGTTTGAAACCAAGTTCGAACATTTCAAGGTTTAAATTGTTTAATTTAAAACAGGGTTGCATCTTGTTTAGAGTTTATTTCTTTTGCGATGCAAAATAAGAAACACTAGGCTAATCTTATTCTTGCAACATTTTAAATTTGTATTGCCAAAGAAATTACAGCTAAATTAAACAATTAAAACAGTAGGCCTACAAAACGAAAATTGTCCAAAGAAACATAATTAAATTAAAAACATGCGTTTCTCTTTGCCTCTCTCGCGCTGGATCTCTTTTTAACAAGTTTATTTAGTCTCCCTCGCTGCGCGCGCGGGTCTCTCTCTCGAAATTAATCATTTCAGGGTAAAAACACATCATACAGCTGATAATACTGTATATGTCGCTGCGTGTCAGCCATACAAATCACGAAAAAATTATTTAACCTTTAATTGTTGCTTCAAAGTCACAGCATGCCTTGTTGAATTCACCTTACAATAACTTCAATTGAAATTTTGTGTGAAAAAAAACTTTAAATAGGCTACAATAAATAAACTACAATATTTATAATTTAATAAGATATGGGGCCTACATTTGGACACAGATTTATCCTTACAATAATTTTGCCTGCTCATCAGGCTGGCTATCCGACACTCTCCATATGAAAGAGGAACATTAACACCTTTGTCCAGCAACTGTCCCTCCAACCCCCCACAGGCTATCGGAGTCTGAGGCTGACTTAACACAAAGAGAAGTCGCAATTCACACTTAAATCGCCATTCTAGACAGTGTTGATAATGAAGGAATTAAATGATTTAAGTTACATGTAGCCTAGTGATATTTCTGTCATAAAAGTTTATTACTAAATATTTCATTATTTCAATAATTGATGAAATAAAACTGGTTTGGGGCAGCTTTTTCCAACCAAAACTAAATATAATCTGAAAAAACGCTTGTTAATTTGTTGTCATGAACAAAATGTTCAACTTAATATTAAAGTCTACAGGGATCTTTGGATCCTTACAACCAGGCATGCAATTTGTGAATTAAGTTTTTATTTTATTTTGTATTATTCAAATAAATATCGAAACACGGTGCTTCGTGGTAATGCTGCTAAATTAAATAACATTTATAGAATAATTATGAACTTAAATGAAACAATATCGCAACATTTCGACAAATACATTATTATGTTTTTACATTTTAATTCAGGGCGATTTAGCCTACATTTAATTAGAGCGAGATTTTCACCCATGTCTTGTCATTTTCTCATTGGGAAGCGCATGTTTGAGTAGATCCTCTGTACCTCTCGTTTTCATATGGATTAGCCTACATAATCAGATAACATTTATTAGCCTAAATATTTAGACATTTAAAGGCTTTAGACATAGCCGATTTCTTATCGTGACTGAGCTGAAGTGGCTTTCGGTTCATTTTTGTGACGCGCAGTTCCCGGAGACAGAGAGGACAGATATAGGCTACTGTTTTTGTCGTTAGCCTAATATGAATACAAGTTTACAGTTTTGAACGATGTAAGCTACTCTACTCTTATCTGTATGACCAAAAAATTACGGAGTCGCCTATTAAGTTATTTTAGCTGTAATAATGAGATAAATAAATTAATCTAAATGAACGCTCCGCCGCGTTTGTCGAACACTAACTCACCATGCCAGAATAAAACCCGACTTTAGAAAAATGCATAGGGTCACTCGGCGTGGTGTGCCAAAACACTTAATTATAAACTTCAATATTTCATTCAAAATAATCTCAACACGCTTTGTGAAATTTTGAAAAGCCGTGCATGCATTAAGGCCACTGGAACTAATGAACAACTGAAACGCTGGTTTTGATTTTATTGTTTTTCGTTTAAACGTGCCTGTTGCATATCTCTATTTTATATATTTGATATTGGTGAAGTAGCCTATAGCATTGATTAGCTGTGGAGGGAGGGGTGTGGGGATTAAAATAATTCAGCAGAAGTAGGGATGTTTAGACCAGAAGGAAATCCCAGTCCCCCCTGGCAAATCACACTTTACTTAAAACCATGTTTTTAAAAACTCTAGGTTGTAGGGAACAGACCTCTCTGCCATGCGCGCGCACGGTTTGGAGCACAATATCTGTCTCGCATGCACGCTCGCTCTAGATAGATTACGGGATATTTTAACTAATTTGCGGTATAACTAGTCGATCACGAGTGGCTCAACAGGTAGATCTATAGATAAACTATATCTTTCAGGAATTTGACCGACCGGGTTGACACTTCAGCGTGAGAAATCGGGGGGGTGGCGTGAGAGCCTGGAATAAATAAATAAAAAATATATATAGCCTATATAAAACAAAACTGTATGGTGTAACAGAGTTTTAGAGCTAGACAAATCTCTCTGCAATAATAAATATAAAATATACAGCAGACCATGTTTGTGCGGGATTTGAACCCGTGTCATCTTGATGATGAACCGTCAGTTCTATCGCTCGGCTATGAATTTTGTTACTGAGAAATAACCAAACGTTTGATTCTCACATGAGCGAGAAAACGTTTTGTGTTTAGCCTGTGAGTGTAGGCCTACTTTAGCCTTTTACAGTTTTAAAAGATTATATCTTATCTGTATGACCAACAATTTGTTGTAGGCTTATTTGGAAATTACCATAACTTGTAGTATTTCATCCTTAGGCTACTGTTAATAGACATTAGCCCCACTTACGTTTTGCTAAATGTCCCTTTGCGCCACCTGGCGGTCATTTCGCGTACGACTTTGAAATGCGACTGGTTTATTTTTACCGCGGTGGATGGCTAAAAATGGTATGTGGATGGCTAAAAGGTGTGACTAAAAATGTGCTTTTGGCTTTCATTTATATTTTGATTGTTTGTATATATATATATATATATATATATATATATATACTAATGAGCCTTTCATTCAGGGGTGTCACACAAGAAAGAATGCAAGGATTTATATACACACACACACACACACACACACACACATATATATATATATATATATATATATATGTGTGTGTGTGTGTGTGTGTGTGTGTGTGTATATAAATATTTATTTATTTATATATATATTGTCCTTGCATTCTTTCTTGTGTGACACCCCTGAATGAAAGGCTCATTAGTATGCAGTCTGCTCAGGTGAGAACTGCCTAATTATTCATGAGGGGGTTGGGCCGATCCGCCCATCCGCATATTGCCTTTGCAAACAAAAAAATGTTTTTCACAATTTAAAACAATCTATTGTGTTATGTGAATGATAAGGCAGGATGATTTTCAGATCATTTTGAAGAAAAAACTCTAGGCCACAACATCCATTAGTCAAAAGTCTTGTGGACACATATTTAGTATGTGTTTTGTGGCCTTATTTCAGAAACTTTAAGTTTTAGTTTTTTCAATAACCACGCATAAACAATATTCTCTCAAAAATACAAAAATGTACATACATGTTGATAACACATTATGGTAGCCCTGTGTGTGCTAAATAGAGTGTAATTACACCTTTGCCAGTAATATGTTTATAAGCAACTGAAAAAAGCACAAATGTCAGAGTATGTCAAAACATCTCAAGGACCCCAAAAACACCTTGGACCCCAGAGGGTTAACTCGCGATTAATCGCACATTTTTATCTATTCTAAATGTCTCTTGATTTCTTTTTGTCCCATTATTTTTTCTCATTTTAATGCTCTTATCAACCTGAAAAAGTGGATCGGCTTGCTTTGTGCAAATATTTTTTATTGAAAACAACATTGGCATATACTGTGTTCAATTTCACACTAAGATTCTCACTTGGAGCAAATAATCTCTCAATGTAACACTGTCCATCAATAAAAGGGTGAAAGAAATACTGACGAGGTCCTGATATTGATGAGGGTGCGGAGAATTCGCATCAGCTTTGTGTGTGTGTGTGTGTGTGTGTGTGTGTATGTGTGTGTGTGCTTGGCCATCATCAAGTGGTGTTTCAGACTGGACGTGCTGCGATGATGATAGCTCAGTTCACAACGACAAAACACACAGATCACTTTGGTCTCATCAATGGGACCATTTGGCAACTTTTTAAAAGTAAACTTTACATTCAGAATCTTGTTGGCATCCATTTCGGCGTCTCGCGCTCGTCATCCACTCAAAACTTAACGTTAATCTACTATTTGGCCGGCTCGCAAGCCTAAACAAGTGTGTGTGGCGTTACTGTTGTTTTGTTTCCGGTCTAGCTAGATCCGCTTGCGCTTTGGTCGACGAAGCAACAAAACGCATGCCGCGCCCTGTTGCAAAAGCATGTGAAAAAAACTACAAGGTTTGCTAGGCCAAAAAGGCCGCTAAACTCGCGATAAAAAAAATTAACGCCGTTAAAATGGGTTTGCGTTAACGCCGTTAATAACGCGTTTAACTGACAGCCCTAGTGTTAATTAAACAAATTAATAGAACTATAACTGTTGCACAAATTGGCCAATCTTACATTTCCTGATGGGGTTGATTTGCACTTCTGGCGCTGCTGGAAGTGGAAAGTTTGCCTCATCCTCAGTTTCACTATCATCGAAAAAACGTGCCCTTTTACTGATGAAAAAAAAAAAAAAACACACAAAAAAAACAGATTATTCAATTTATTCTCCTCATTCAGCAGCCATACTCTGCTCTGTATGTCCTGTATTTACATGTGTCTTTTTCTTCTCACGGGGGGCGAGTCCACATCTGTAAGGTCTGTGTTTATTTCTGCCTCTGGTAGTTTTTGGCGAGCTTCTTCATATGTTTCTGAATAGATAAACAACAAAGTTTCTGTGAAGCAAACTAAAAAATACATTAAATAAAGAATAAATGAATAAATGAGAAAAGAATCTTAGGGCCAAATTTACTAAATAGGCTCAATCTCCTTTTTGGGGGAGGTAAATAATGGTGCAAATACCAATAAATTGACTAGCATCAACCTTAGTAAATCGCCTTGCATGATTCATTTAAATTAATCTGAATGATTCTGCATGAGTCTGAAAGGGAACTCTTACAAACGCTTATGCAACAATGTCAGCTGCAAAAATAACTGTTCACGCCTTTTTAGTGTCTTTAATAAATCCTGACACCAAAAGAGGGTAATGCTGGTGCAACCTGTTAGTAAATCTGACCCATGGAAGCTATGGATATATGTACCTCTAGTAAAAATAATCCGGATTTTGAAGGGAGTCCAAGATGGTCCTGGCTTTACCATTGATTTTATGGCTTTAACTCTATCTTCATATTTGTATGGAGGCCACATACAAATATTGTCCCTTACCCAATTTTGGGGGACAACCTCGACTTCATTTGTTGTTTCAAAGATTACGATATGATACATTGTCTGAAAAAAAAGAGTTTTACACTTAATTTAGATTAATACAAAAAATAAAAAATCTAATTCATATAAATGCCACTTACAAAGCATGTCCCACAATTTAATCCAGAAATGGTGTTACTGCTTCTCAAGAACTATGTACATTAATTGGTGATATTAAGATGTGTGAGTCAGAGGGAAGACTGCAAATTTGTCTCCCAGAGGCAACCTCACACACTTCTGCCAGGGCTTTGTGAGCTCAGTAAAGTGCATCACTGTTGACAAATTGGACACAATGAATACGCCCATGTTTCTGGAGTCAAGAGGGTAGGTGTATAAGGCCTCTTTCTCTCTATATTCTTGAAACATAACATACTCTTTACCCCCATAAGCAATTATGTTTTTTACTGAAATCACTTTGCCATGAATAGCAATGCAATCATCTTTGCTCGATATTCGCAGCATGACACCATCAACAGTAAGCTGTCTGAACTGATGTACTGTTTCTGTCAGTGTTTGTGGTACAGGTCCATTTTTATGGGGGCACATTAGTGATATTTCATCAGTGGAATAACAATTCCTTTCCTCTTGTTCTGAAAACCTGCGGATTATCTGTGCAAGTGGATTGTGAGGCTTCCTTACCAATCTCTTAAGCTCACCAAGAAAGTTTTCATAGGGGAAGCCAGATATGCCATCTAAAGGACCATGCACTTTTACATCACTAGCAAGATGTACCAAGCCATGAATGTTGTATACCACCATCTCTTTGCCATACAACAAGCCATAATGCTCAACAAATGATACCAAAAAGGAGTGAGCCAAATCATTCATTTCGATACAATAGTTTGAATTTGCCAAAATGTAGATGGCAACAGACAACAGCATAAAGTTCTCATAAACCTGGCGAGGCAACACACTCTTTAAAACAACCGGGCCTGTGTACAACAACAGTTGACGGAATTCAGTTGCCTTCCAACGAAGTCTCTCACTGAGAGCCCTAGGCTTTCTGGCAAATTCTGCTGGAATGAACTCCTTCAATGCTACCAGTCTCTCAGAGATACCCAAGACTTGAATGCTCGAAAGCCTTGTACGCAGGGGGCCCACTGCACCACACCACAGATCCGTTAGACGTCTCACTACACCCAAACACACAAGGTGCATGTAATCATGAGGAAAACCAGTTACCATGTCAATGTCGGTTTCTAGAAGAGGACAGAGTGTTAGATGGTGTTCCTCATCTAATCCCAGTCGAAAAGCTTCATCTGTTCTACAGGAGGCATTGTTCTCAGGAAATGTCATGCGGTGTTTCACATAGGAACCTTTCTGCTGACATTTGTCACAGCCGTAGTAGCCTGTGTGAGATTTTATACCTTTGATAAAGGCTCGTGCTGGAGCGTCACACATGATAGATGTTACCTTGACAAAGAAAGTCTTGCCACCAAAAACAAAACCTCTTCTTAAACTCTGCAACTCACAAACTAAGTGACTGAGATAGTCAGACAGATTTTTTGGCTTAGTGGTCCCACAAAACAAACCTACAACAACAGGTTTCTTAGATAGACCTTCGAACATGCCAAGAATAGGCCAAAGTTGAACTGAAGAACTTTTGAAAAGTGGGAGGCCGTCAAAATTTAGCTACATGTTAAATGTGTGCCCATCTGTAAAACGAGAACATACACTTCTCAACGTGTTTCTGAAAGCATTGATAATACCAAAATAGTGGAAAGATCCACCGGCAATCATCTCCACATTGTACTCCGTTTTCGTCTTTAACAGTGACCTTCCATCTTTTGGCAGGAATGGTAAATGCACTCTAAGAATTGCCAATAAAGCAGAAAGTGCAATGAGAGATACACCAAAACGAAGTGCCCAGTCAGTAATGCTGCTTCTGAGATCACTTTTATCGTTTGTTTCACCAGTACTGCTACAATCATAGCTGCTGTTTGTATTCTCACTAACAGAGATGCAAGTAGGATTCAAATCTGAAGGTCTGCAGTCAAAGGGAATGCCACCAAGAGGAATGCTAACAGGAGAGTTGTTAAGATTATCAGTATGGTCATACACCTCATGATCCACTGATTTAAGAAAAGTGTCAACTCTTTTGAGGGCCCTTTTCCTAAGATTGCTGCGTTCATTGTAATTCATCACTAGTGAACCATATACTGAGTCACAAATAAAATATGCAAGGAATATTCCTAATGAGTTCAAGCTCAGGATGTTCACTACCCTATAATGAGAGAGAAACAGCAGATTAGGACAGCAAATTAATAAATTAAAGGAATAGTTCACCTAAAAATTCTGTCATAATTTACTATCAATAAATAAACATATCAAATGACATAGTGATTAAACAATATATAAGTAAAGAGTATTATTCTGTATTACAGGTATTTACAGATGGGTCAAAGGAGCCAGAGTTTGGTAGAACAGCAGCAGTATACATCCTGACATTTAAAATGAAAATTGCAAAAACAATATCTGAAAGAAAGAAAAAAATACATGCTGAAACCAAGCGTGCACCACAAGCCCTGAAAAGCGAAGCCCCCCGGTGGCCGGTCCTAGTATAGGTCATAACGTTAGACCAACTAAATTAAATTACACTTCAAATATCGTTTTTCCAAATGTGGTTTCTATCATTTACTGTAGTTTTTATCATGCTGAAATAAGTTCAAGAGTTTGTTTTTAAAATAAGTTTGTTTTTAGTTAGTTATTTGATGTGGTGGTGTGAGGTCATGATTGACAGCTGTGATTGACAGGTTCTCTGAGCGAAGTAGTCACTGAAGCACCAACAGACTTTTTTTTCGGGATCATCGGAGGACTGAGGAGATTGGAGCTTTAAATTCAAAATATAAATTTCTATAATTAATTTAAAAAGTGCAGGAGCGTGTGCTTGCGATTGATTCAGCGAGAGTGGGGGCGGGGCCTTGATTTAGCGGCTTTACTTCCGGCTCACGACTGCGCAGATTTAAGTCCCAAGATGCCAGCGCCATATCGGGACACTGGCGGCTTCACTTCTGACCAATGGAACAGAGCGAAAGGGGCGTTGTCCATCTTTTTTTACAGTCTATGACTGAAACCATAGACAGTATGGGTGAAACAACTGCACTAGATTTTTTTTAGTGGGCTTTCCGTGTAGTGTAGTTTTAAAAAGGTACTATTTTACAGCGGTTTGCAACGATTCTCCTTTTCCCCCACAATGCATTGCATTATGTCACCTTGGGGAGAGAATTTACCAAAAACCGCCTTGAGAACATTGAGAGTGACAGACAGACAGACAGACAGACAGACAGGCTAGTATAGAGAGAGAAAGGCAGACAGCCAGATAGCATAACATTAGCATAGATAGCTAGCAGCTAGATAGATAAATAGAAATATATAGTAGGTAGATTGACAATAGTGAGGCACGTCATATCTGGTCGCGGGGTGAGCTCCTCGACCAGCGACCAAAACGCATTCACTTCCCTACAGCACAAGCTTTCCAATGCAGTTTCCATGGGACGGCACCGCCCACACAAGCAATTGCGTAAAAAAAAAAACCTGTTAATACAAAAAATGTAAAAAACTGGTCTTTAAGACCGTTTTTGAGACATTTTAAAAATGATATACATATCTTGAGTGATTTATGTACCCATTAATCGACAGTGGTGGTTAACCTGCAACACGGCCTTTAAATGTATTAACTTTTTCTGCTCTAGGGCTAATATTACATTTAAAGTTTGCTTTATTAATGTTAGATATAAGCGAATTTAGCATTCTACAATCTTTATTGTTGATGTGTTTTCATTAATAATAATAATAATAATAATAATAATAATAATGAGCCACGAATTAAGCATTCGTTTTAAAAGTAAGGGGAAAATCCAAAGACCTTTTATTTGTGTAACAACACAGGTATACCATGTCATCAGTCTAATTCGCCTTGTTAAAAGTTCTGTTTAATATAATAAATTCATTTATGCTTCCATGACAAGTACATAAGCACTAAGGAGAAAATAACTACAGACAACTGTTAACACCTTTAAGTGATGCTTAAAAAAAGATAACTTACCTTAGTTGAAATAAGGGATGGTTAGAAGAAAAAGAAAAAGAAAAAAAAGTCACAGGAGGATGATGCAAAATCTAAAAAAGGAAACAATAAAAAGATTATATTACAGTTAACCACTACAGTAGTCCAAAATGTTGAATGAGGCATGTATGCTGCAAATCAATCTAATATAATCTAAAAAAAATCTAAAGTGAAACTAAGAATGTGCTTATAAACATCTTACAGCAAATGATGACTGTGGTGAGCAGGACGAGGCTGAGGGCTTTGAGAGAACAGCTGGAGGCCGGTGGTGTGATTACTGATGAGTGACACCTGCATGTTGCTCATTAACAATCACCCACCAGCCTCACGCCATTCGCTCACACCCTCAGCCTCGTCCTGCTCACCACAATGACAATTATCTGTTTTCAGACAAGAAAAATTGGTAAAATAAGAAATGACTGTCTACTGTAATATCAAATATTATGTCTGTATTTATAGACGTGCAGAAGTCAAAGAAAAATAATTATTGATGAATCAAATTGTGGTACAAGATCATATGGATTTTTATTTATTCATTTATTGACTAGCAAAATATTATAGTGACACAAGAAACTGCATTAATTATGCCCATGTTTCTCATCTTTGCAGATAATTTTCAATCAGTCACAATTTTGAATTGGTAAAGGCAGATAAATAAACATTAACATGGACAGCTAAGATAATAAGGGAAACATCTCAAACTGACATGGCTGATGATGTAGCTTTAAAGAATTGAATCCCAAATACTAAAGTGTCTCAAAAATATACTTACATGAAAAAAGACGCTTAATGGTTGAACGAGGTTGAAAGAGCTCTTAAAAGAGCTTTTGGGGGTTATTTAGCTGCTGTTGACACAAAAGCAAAATGGAAAAAAAGAAGAAACATGACTGAACAGATACTGAATAGAAGAAATTTTTCATCAATAATAACATTCGTTACAGCGTCCAGAAGTTCAGGATCCTGTTCAAAAATCCTGCCGGGCCACATCGTCATTTACATGGTTTTATATTAAATTTACATTTATATTTGTCTCAAATCGTTGTTAATGTATACTGACTTCACCCTGTGCTGCAAGATACATTAAGATTTACATTCATTTAAAATTTCAATCTGACAGGCTTGTTGATTAACCAAGTGTTTTATTATGTAGCAATTTATTTGTTTTATTTAAATCTGAAACATGAAACGTGGAGTTACCTGCTTTTGCTCCTACAACAACAACAACAACAAAAAAGATTGTTTGAGTTATCTGCTTTTGCTAAAAAAAATATATATATATATATATATATAAACATACTTTCAATGAACTTTATAATTTATAATAATAAGTTATTAGTATTTAATCAAAACAACCTGACTGCAGTTTGATTGGTATTACTTGGAATGCAAAAAAAGAAAGAAAAAAGAAAGAAAGAAGTGTGTGTGTTTC